GGGAGCTATGGGGAGAAAAAAAGAGGAACAAATGTAATAATCTGAACAATAAAGATTTAATTTTAAAAAAAGGTTATTTAACCATTTTCGGTCCAACATTGAGGCTGACTCGACAGACCAGGCACTAAAAGCAGGTCCAACATCGAGGCTGAGGTTGACACCGCAAACTGGTTCAACATTCAACCCCGTCAATTAATTTGAATTGAATTCCAAATATAAAATTGGACCGCAAAGGGTTAAAGAGCACCTCTTTTGTTCTCAGAAAAGAAAGATTTTTTAAGCTAAAAATTCTTATAGGAAGACAAGGTAGCAAAAATAATTAGAAATGTGAAAAGCAGTTAGGTGACTTCTACTGATAGTGTGGAGAAGGACTGAATGTGATAGAAAAAAATCACTGGAAATTCTCTCCTTCATCCATTTGCCCTCCACAAAGAAACATAACAAATATCTCTATATATAAAACTCCAGTGACTATAACGCCGTGACAACCTGAATGACTGGTTGCTATGATGCCTACTGTGGCCAGCAAAGCGCCTGTGGCTTCTTGCTCAGTCTGGCCCTGCCCCCAGTGGAGACTCCATCCCGATCAGGGGCAGGGCCAGCCTGCAAACTGCCCGTGGTCACTCACCAAGGCTGGCCCTGTCCCCAGCAAGGATCACCCGCCCCGATCCGGGGCCTCCATCAGTGCAGGACAGCTGGCCCCCACCCGTGCACCAGGCCTCTATCCTCCTATATAATAAAAGGGTAATATGCAAATTGACCCTAATGGCTAAACAATCAGAATGACTGCTGGACAAGTCACTATGAGGTACACTGATGGCCACCCGTGGCAGGGGCAGGGATTGTGAGTGGGCGGGAAAAGCCAACCTCTCAGTCCCTCCCCTCAGCTGTCAGGCACTGATCTCCAGATGGCGAAAGAAGAACTGGGGGTGGGTGGTGGCGGGAGGTGGGGCCGGCTGCGGGCAGCTAGGGAAGATGGCCTAGATCCCAGGCCAGGCCTAGGGACCGTACACGCACACAAATTTTGTGCGCCAGGCCTCCAGTGTTTTTAATAACTGTATTCAAAATAAACTTCTGTGTTTAGTAGACCAGATAACCAGGTTCACTTGCCAGAGTTTGATAATATATATAAACTAACTGAGCTATTTATTGGAACCTGGAAAGTTCAGGCATGAACTAACCAAGAAAGACATAATTGCTTTTGGTGAATTTGTAAATGGATCTAGTTAACATCATTGCATTAAGGCCCCCCTGGGCTGGTAAACACCTTAAATGCATTTCAGAAAATACAGTTTTGCCGAAACCGGTTTGGCTCAGTGGATAGAGCGTCGGCCTGCGGACTGAAAGGTCCCAGGTTCGATTCCGGTCAAGGGCATGTACCTGGGTTGCGGGCACATCCCCCGTAGGAGATGTGAAGGAGGCAGCTGATCGATGTTTCTCTCTCATCGATGTTTCTAACTCTCTATCCCTCTCCCTTCCTCTCTGTAAAAAATCAATAAAATATATTTTTAAAAAAAACAAGGAAATACAGTTTTGCTGCCTTTAGAGTGAATGTTGGCTCTGAGAAGGTGATTTATGCAACATCTTGAATATAAAGGCTGTGGCAAGCCAGGAAGATGGCACACTTTAAATAGGAATCCATTCATTTCATTTCACTCTGACTCTGTAGAGACACCAGTTAAGGAGAAGAAATTCCATAACAGTAAGCCTTGCAGCCAAGAAAATGGATTTGGAAGCTATACAGCAAGGCAGAAATGAGTTGGTAAGCACCCTAGGCTGGCTTGATCAGACAGAAAAAATCTTGATGAAGCAACTCACAGAGAGCCTAGAAGAAAAAAAGAAGGCACAATTTAAATACAACTCATTTGCACCATGAAAATAAGATGGTTGGCCAACTGCTTGAACTCAGATGCACAATCACAGTGAGAGTGGGGGTGAGGAGCACCACACTTGTTAAAAGAATGGTGACTTAGAACATGGAACTTCTAAGACTTAGAAATGAAATCCGAAGACTTAGAAATGCAAGGAGCATGACCTCTACTTGGTTGTCTTGAAAGGTTCTTGATATTCATCATAGCCCCAAGCATTCAAAAAAGAGCCAGGAAGTTTCTCTTCACAGGATATTCTTGGTTTTCATCCTCCTCCATTTTTATCACCCAGATTAGCTATATATAAATTTACACATTTATCTATATTTGTCTTGATATGTATGTTGTTATTTCTCACAAGCTACCTAAGGTTTCATGCTATGTCGACTATCATTCATCTAGAATACACCATAATGCTAAGTAACTGAAAGCAACACAATTACCAATTTCTATTTTCCCCCCATAAAATAGTTACATGTGAGAACTAGGAAAAGCTGGTGAACAACATTTGCATATCAACCCACTTTATTTCAACATCTCTCTCCACTTAAAGAGACTTGGGTAATTACTGTACTTAATTACATAAAGAATGCATACTCTAAGCTGGGATTTACACAGGAAGGTATCATAGTGAAAGGATAAGAGCCTACACTCTGGCCTCAGATTTTTGGATTCAAATGATGGTACTGTATAGCTGGAGAGCCGTGTAAGCTTCCACCAGGTACTTTGTTGATTAAATAGAATTAATAACAGTGGTTGGCGGTAAATAACAACATACATAACGCATGTTGCATAGTGCCTACAACATAGCTCTTGGCTATTATTTTTACAACACTCTATCCACTGAGCCAAACCGGTTTCGGCTATTTTTATTTTTAAGTATATTTTTATTTATTTCAGAGAGGAAAGAAGAGGGAGAGAGAGCTAGAAATATCAGTGATGAGAGAGAATCATTGATTGTCTGCCTCCCACACACCCCATAGTGGAGATTGAGCATGCAACCCATGTGCCTGACAGGAAATCAAACCATGAGCTCTTAGTTCTTAGGTCAACACTCAACCACTGAGCCACGCCAGCTAGGCATATTTTTACTGTTAGTATTATTATCATCATCTTCACTTAGGGCAATAGAGTGTATTACTTGACTCAATGGAAAAACTGATTATTTTAAAGAACTTGTATGCATGTGACCAATGCAAATAAATCCATTAAAACAATTAATATGGTAACTGTCTATTAAACATCTCTTCTTCCAAAGAAAGGGAGCGTCCTGAAAGAATTATGCCTCCACATGCTTGAACATGGACTTACTTGCTAAGTTTGGGGTATGCTATGTGAGATGCAACCGTCATGAATAGTGGATGCCTGCTGATGCCACTATCATGTACCTTCATAGTGCATCCAAGGACACAGATTGGCATGGTTGTACATGGTTAGAGGAAAGAAATGGTTATTACCTTGGCTGCCTCCGAGAGTCGCTAGTCTGAATACCTCTTTGAGGGTGAGGCTTCTCTCATTTATCTGAGTAATTACAAGGGTACTGGAAACCATCACTGCTCTTCTGATTGCATCCAGCATGGAAGGTGAATAACCACCAGCCACATCTAGGATAAAGAAAATAAAGCCAAGAAGGTAACCTTATGAGATAAATGGAATATTAAGTATATAAGGTTGAATTTGTAAATTTTATTTTTCAATTACAGTTTATATTTTGCATTGGTTTCAGGTGGACAGCATAGTGGTTAGACAATAATATACATTACAAAGTGCTACCCCTGATATTTCAAGTAGCCACTTGGCACCACACATAATTATTACAATATTATTGACTACATTCCCGTTGTCGTACTTTACAACCCCATCACTATTTTGTAACAACCAACTATTAATAGGTTAAGTGTTTTGTTTGTTTTAGTGACAGATATTGAGTCTTTAATATACTTCAAAGAAAAGATCTATAAACACAGACTAGACATAGACTAACATGTAAAGGAATTAAAAACCAGTAATTAGTATCAAATGTGCACCTGCATTAGTTTCCTAGGGTTTCTGCAACAAGTTACCACAAATTTGGTGGCACAGAACAGCAGGAATTTATTCTCTCACAGCTTTGGGGCAGAAGTCTTAAATCAGTGTTCACAGGCCACGATCTCTATAAAGGCTCCTGAGAAGAATCTTCCCTCACTTCCCTCAGTTTCTGGCGGCTCCTGGCAGTCCTTGGCTTGTGGCAGTGTAACTCCAATACCTGGCTCCAACTTCATCTGGGTCTTCCCTCTGTGTCTTTAAGTGTCTCTCATTTTCTCTTATAAGACACCCATCATTGGATTTAGAAAACAATTTATTGAGAAAATTTTGAGAGCTGTCTTATTATGTTGCTGCCTTACAGGATGACTTAATCATCCTATACTCTTCTGGTTGTTATGTTAATAAAGTTCCAACGAAGGAACAATATTGTGCAGATCAAAAAAGAAACCCTGGACTACATAAACCATGGTATTTTAGTCAAACTTTTCTTCCAGGGATTCATAGTGCCATGTCTTCTTGTACTCCAAGGATGATGATAATGTTTTGAAATTTTCTTCTGGATCCTGAAGTAAATCATTTGCAGAAATATGCTCATCCTTTTATTCTTTTTGATACTGTTTTCTCTTGCTTTGCAATATGTTCACTAAGCTTCCTGTGGGTTTCCTCTTAATATGGAGCAAGTCCAGACCTGCTTACACTTGATACAGATACAGTGAATGACCTGCTTTTGGAACTGCTCTCTGTCAATAAAATCAGGTTAAATAATCTTCTAAAGTCTAAAAATGAAGTGCAAATTCATACACAAAGGTCATGTTTAGGAAATAGTGGAGCATAGGGTGGCTACCACAGCAGAGATGATGTGAAATGCATTCTCCAACTTAATAAGCAAATACATCATATATAAGCAAACATTTGGTCAATATACCAACATTGCTCTTTCCCTTTAAGCCAATCTTTATTGACTAGTACATGTCAGAGTTCTTTTCATTTGAGCCTCAAAATAAGCTTATAAGATAGATATTGTTATGATTGCTGTTTTGTTATAGAAATTAGGAATTGAAGCCTTAGAACATTAATTTGTTCAATGTTTTACCACTAATAAGGGACAGTGAGAGCTTTACCTAATTGTTTTAAGCTATTGCTACACAATCAAAAGCCAAGAACTACAAGTTAGGTGATGAATTTAACTCATAGAGACCAAACCCCCAGGAAATTTGAAAGCAAATATCTACCTTATTTTGCATGTCTGCTAAATTTTTAATTAATTGACTATATTATGTAATAAAAACTCCTGGCCATTTTTTTCCTTATCTATTAAAGCTTTTCTGTTAAGGGAAAACAGCCAGTTGCCTGTTTTAACACCTGGGACTATATGCAGGTTATTAAACAATCTCTGTCATTCAAGGCTTAAATTAGAATTTTTAAAAAAAACCACAATTCTTTTTAATTCATGTAAAATTAAGGAAAACTTCTACATTAGCATACCTATTTAAAAATATTAATAAATCCCTTTGTGGTATTGTGTGTCCTACCAAGGAATTACTCGGTATAAAGTTAACTGAGACTTGAGTTATTCCAGACTATCATTGTCAACAAGCAAACATCCCCACGCTCTTGAATAACAGGAGGACAAGTGCATCAAGAATGGAAAATAAGTCATTGTGCCCTACACCAACTTAAAAAGAAATTTATGTCCTAGCTGGTTTGGCTCAGCAGATAGAGCGTTGACCTGCGATCTGAAGGGTCCTGGGTTTGATTCCAGCCAAGGGCACATGCCCTGTTGCAGGCTCTATGCCCAGTAGGAGGTGAGCAGGAGGGAGCCAATCAATGATTCTCTCTCATCCTTGATGCCTCTATCTCTCCCTCTTCCTTCCTTTCTAAAATAAATAAAAATATATATTTTTTAAAATTTAGTTCATTTACACACAATAGTGAAAGGTTCACAGTTGATACGCCTAGACATTGGGGTCTGATGCATGCTTTCAAAATTAATAGCACTGCACAAATTCGGGAAAAAATCATTAAACAAGAAGCATCCTTAATTTATCAGCCACTGAGAACATCCTTCAGCCTAGCAAGCATCAGACTGCCCGTAGGAATGGAATCTCATTTTGTTAAACACTGCTTACAAGGAAAGCAAGTTCTTAACATAGAGTTCTCATGTAACTCAGAGTTCTCAACGCTGGCATGAATTGAGTCTATGCTTGCTATGGCAAGGCCAAATAATTTTCTTTTGAGACAGTATTTGTGATGGCACATTTATTGAAAACTAAAAACATACAAATCCAAACTATTAAAGCCTTGCCAGAAGGACAAAACAAAAGAGAAAAAAAAATCAAGGATTACTTTAAATGAATCTCTAAAACACTAGAGAAGGACCTATCCTTTAGAGCAAGCATGTCAACCTCAAAGGCTAATGTAGGCCAAATAAATGAGGCATGTGGGCCAACAGCCGAGAGTTTGACATGCTTGCTTGAGAGCCCTGACAGTAAATGCAGAGAATAGCTTTCAGAAGCTTAGTGATATCCAAACGTCTTCCTTTGCATATATCTTCTTACTGCTTCCAATCTCACTATTTTATTAGCTCAAGATATTGTTACCAGAAAAATAAAACTAATTTTTTAACATGAAATGCAACCTGAATATTAGTCACATTAGAAAGTTATGCACTTAAGCAACCAGTTAGCCATGGTCCCAAATGGTGCGCTACTAACCTGTGCCCAGCCCTATTTTCACGTCGTGTTTCAGCACTTCTAGCACATTGAGTAAGCCGCTGCTGAGCCTGCAGAGAGAGGAGACTGTCACAACCAGGACACCTATGTGGGCCCAACAAGAGAAGCACCCTAACAGCAGTGATGGAGATGTCACTGAAACTTGTATTCTCCGTCACATCAGCGCTAATGCTGACACACACACATTCATCAGATCAGAACATCTGAGTCCTGGAGTAAAAGCAGACCACAAAGGAGCTTAACTCCTGGCACAGAGGTTAATCTCAGGAGGGTACAAAGGAGCAAGAGCAAAAACAGGAAGCAGGGGATCGTTTGCAAGGAAAAGTAAAGGAAGAAATTAAATCTTGCAGTTAGTCCAAAAGTCTTACCGGTCTTTAATACTTTTTTAACCAACCCATCCTCCTATGTTAGGAAGTAGAAATGATAAAGCTTTGTCTTTCCTCTCCATCTCAGATAATTTGTTACCCTGAATGAGTAGTGACTTTCAAGATCAAAGAAAGGGATTATAATTGGAAAAGGGCATGCAGGCTGCTGAGTCCAGGCCTGCCAGCTCAAATGAGGCTACTGATGACAGAAGAAACTAGGAGAGATGGTTCCTGTGCTGAAGTCTGGACCTTGTGGCTCTGAGCTTACTAGATATGTGCCTTTCTAAAGAAACAAAGGAAAACTAAAGCGATCCTTAGAAGTCTGAGAAGATGCAAAGGTCAAAGTGGTCTGCTCAAAGACACACATGATTATAATTTTCAAAGCCCCAATGTCCACGCCATAAAACTCTCAAAGTTGTTGGAGAAAGAATAACAGTGGCCATGTAAACAGAAATGTATCCATAAAGAACTTTAACTTCACACCTTAATTTGGATCATGTTTTAGTTTAGATGTTGTGTAACTAATGGAAAGGGTGTTACACCCTTCCCCTATCTGGCCACTAGATCATAATTATGATCACTAAGCTGTATATGAGGAGAATTCCCTGTCATGCATTACCACTCAATATCTCAAAACTGGCCTCTGGAACAACCTCTTAGAACACTCTAGAAATAAGTCGCTGTGTTTCTTGTGCCTTCCCATGCTGCCACTCACATAAATTTATCATTCACAAGGTTCCTAGACTTCTAACTGCCGACACCTCCACCTCTTTGCTGAGGGCTCTCTTCAGCCAGTAGAGCCTGCTCCGCCCTGGTTTGGGGAAGGTCAGAGGCTCCAGGGAATCAATGCCTCTTCACCCCACCCAGCGGTCCCCCAACAATAACTGATGGGTGTTTGGGTATAACCAGCTAGTCCCTCACCCCTTAGGCAGAATGACTTGCAGGTCTGCTTTGGACATTGACTTCCTGGTATTTCCATAAGGATTAGACTCCAGGAGCCCATGCTGGTAACTGGTTAATGATGCACTCTTTCCTGACTTCCTTCCCTTCTCTGTCTTATCCACCTAAAGGTGTTTCCTGAGATCACTTCCCCAATAAGCTACTTGGACATGAATCTTCATCTTATGGTCTACTTCTGCAAGAACTCAAAACAAGAGAACACAAAGTAACTCGAAAAGATGAAAATCTAGCAGAAGCTAAATAAATTTATTGAATTAATATATGAGGGATCCACCCCAACCCGCCTCTAAGAGGAAGCAGCGGGAGACCGTGCCATCTTGAAGGGAAAGAGGCTGAGATTGAAAGCCTATACATCCCAAGACACTACAACCACAACACCCTGGGACCAGCTGCAAACCCAGGAACACCGGATCTCAAGCAGTGCAAATATGTGGACTCTGATGAGTTCTGCACCTTCTCACAGAAAGGTTAGATATCGCGTAGGGAAAGGAGAGAGAGAGCTACATAACCAGATACCCTGAGAAGAGAGATCATGGGGAGACAAAGAAATAGGCTGCATATGAAAGAAGAGGAAACATCACCAGAAAAGGAAGTAAAGGAAATGGAGGCAAGCAATATGTCAGAGAAAGATTCAGAGAAATGGTCATAAGGTTGCTGAAAAGAATGGACGACAAATTCAACAATATGTGTAAGAACCAAGAGGAAATGAAGAACCAAGAAGGGATGAAAAATGACATTGCTGCTATAAAGAACTCAATAGAAAGCATCAACAGTAGACTAGTAGAAGCAGAGGACTGCATCAGTGAGCTAGAAGACAAGGTAGAAAAAAATAACCAAGCAAAGCAGCATCTAGAAAAAAAATTTAAAAAACAGGAGGAGAGCCTAAGGGAACTTTGGGACAACAGGAAATGAAAGAATATCTGCCAGAAAGAGAGGAAACCTGTTTGAAGAATTATGACAGAAAACTTCCCTGATATAGGGAAGAAAAAACTCACACAAATCCAAGAAACTCACAGAGTCCTAATCAAACTGAACCCCAAAAGACTGATGCCAAGGCACATTATTATTCAATTGGCAAACACCAACGACAAAGTAAGAATCTTAAAAGCGGCCAGAGAGAGATAGAAAGTTACCTACAAATGATCCCCCATCAGAGTAGCGACTGATTTCTCAACAGAAAAACATCAGGCTAGAAGGGAATGGAATGAAATATACAAA